AAAATTCCAAACACATTTTCTTATAACGCAAAAAACGTCATATTATTCCATGGATGATCTTTAAAGTTTTTCAACTTCTACTGGCAGGCCCTATCATACCATAGTTTGAAGTATATATATATATTTCGAACGCCGCTGCTAACTCTTATAATATAAAACCGCTTTTGAATCATTGATTGTATTCCTATAGTATATGTTATACAGAAAATTTTGGTTGTTCCTGTAATCTATCTCAGTTGTCATTGTTGTTCAATTGTTACTAATTATTTTCTTGTCTCTGGATTTTTGAATATTTTGTTTCATGTGATTAAGTCTCACGGTTATCTCTCTGAAACAGCTCAATCATAGAACTAACAACTTTGAAGTCATATAGATCACCATAAAAAGAACATCTTTCGCATGAGTCTAAAATTTCTAGAACGTATTCTTCTTGCAGATGAGTCACTATCAACCATAGATATGAGTTCATATAGGAATATTTGCTTCTGATAAAAGTCTTGTGTTCTATGACTTCATTCATCAAATAGATCTTTTTGAAATTAACAATGTCTAAAATAAGTAGTTTCTGTGAATATTCTTTCTTGATGCATGACCAGTTTATCAATTTATTCTTGTTTTTGGCAACGATTTTTAAGAGAACCCGAATGACGATATTGCCATCTATAATTTTCTAATCAAAAACACATTATCCTAGGTAGCCAACACATCTGTATAACGAATAATTGTTGTCAAAGATCACGAACTTCTATTGGCTCCTTTGTGAGATATTTTAGATGTGTAATTCGAAACACTCTTAAATAGACTTACAAAGCGTTCATCAATCGTTTTTTTTGAATGTTTAAGAGCAAGTATAGATGTAATTTATGAGCAACTTGTCAACCGCTTGGTCTATGAAAATTGTGATATGTCAGCTATAAGTTGAATCGAATAATGTTTCCTAATATCTTAAGAAGAAACATGGAAACATTAATACTCATGCTGTACTTAATCTATTTATTTTATAACAGAATGACGAAAGATATAAACGATATTTGATGAATTTCTACAATGAAAAAAACAATTTTCAACAGGATTTCTGTGAATAAAACCACAGAATACTAAAATTAGGAAAGCATGACTTTTATACATGGAAAGAACTACCTACTTAATAATAGAAAAATGACCAAGTGGTGGGACTTCTCCTGACTTTGCCTTTTTCATACTCACATTCTTAAAAATGTGATTTTTCTTCATTTTACAAAGTACTGTAGGCATAACCTAGATAGATGCTTGATTAGAATCTTAGTATGAGGTATACAGTGATCGAAATTGAGTTTTTCGAAAAAGTATCTAGAACTGTTATCGGAATTAAAAGAAAAGGCCACCTGGCAAAATGCTTATAACTTGTGAACGAAGATAGCCAGAGCCCTGCGGTTTTCACCATTCGAAAGGGAAGACAAGGGGACGCCTTTTTCTCCAATATTGTATAGGACGAAATCATTTAAAAATCAGCCATTTCTACAAAACATCGAAAAAATGTATAAAAAAACGATCTGCCATCCAGTTGAAATTTAGACGAAAAGTAAGAAAATATGCTTAAAAATTAAAAGAACTCTATAGTTTTCGTGCAATTGAATAGACAAGTTTATTTGTTCAACATTAGGAGGTGGAAAGATAATCATTCGAATTATATCTGGAACTATGCATCTGAAGTTCCTCTATCTAGACCACATGTCACAACCAAAATTTCATCGGAATGACAGATCGTTTTCATGCATTTTTTCGATTTTTTGTAGAAATGACTGAGTTTTAAATGATTTCGTTCTATACAATATTGGAGAAAAAGGCGTCCCCTTGTCTTCCCTTTCGAATGGTGAAAACCACAGGGTTCTGGCTATCTTCGTTCAAAAGTTATAAGCATTTTGCCCGATGGCCTTTTTTTAAAATTCCGATAATAGCTAATCTTTACTTGACTTTCTTGAAAATAATTCAATATCTCAACAGTACAGCGACATTTTTTATCCAAAGAGTTTACATGGCTATACGTCAAACTGTTGTCTTGATAATGTTTAAGATAATCTGTCCAATTTGAGACTATGGATTGCACAACTTCGAGCGTGAGTTACTTGGTAAAACTCATGTGTATAAAAATTAAAGAACCTAAGGAAGTCATTAATATCTGATTTTGATACTGAGAACATCCATAAATACTAAGATGATATCTAGATCAAAGATAAATGAGAGTTCTCATGTAGATAGCTTTTTAAGCACTTACTAGTCACCTGATGATGTCTGAGAAGCAGAAGGACAAAATACCGATCTTCACCAAAAAAAGTTCAGAGAAATACCGCTTTCCCATGCCAAATTGACAGCAGAATGTAAAAACTTATCTTTATCATAATCCAAATCAATATTAAGAACTGTAGGAGATAGATCAGTGATGGATCTAATGTTTCTTGGCATTTTCTATTTAATAGTGAATATTTTAGATAATTAGTAACATAAGATCTTGAGCAAGAAAACAGCATGAGAGTTAACTTTGGCTGTAAATATAGTTGAGGTTCCAAAATGGATAGAATGAAAACTCTAAAGTTTACTGAATTCTGGTAAGAAAGCATTGTCTTGTAGAAATAATCTTTAGAATATCCTATCTAAGGTAAAAATGATAGAGGGAAGGTGCCGTAAGTATCTTTGTTTTATTAAATGTTATTTTACATTTACAAATCAATTTCTTCTGTACGTTAATTATATTCAAGTTTTTATTTTTCATATAATGACTTTGTTTTTTGCAAAAATTCTATGAGAAACAATTGTCTAGTATGATCATGTATTTCATATTGTAGAATCTGGCGACATCACACGAACCTACGTCTCAAACACGATAATAAACAATGGTCAGAGTACTACAGTGATCAATACTGATGCATTAGCTCGACAAGTAATCTTATTTCCATTATTTAACACGTACATCTTAACTAATTAAATTGAATGAAATTCTAGTTAGAAATCGCCTATGGTTTGCCAACAGGCTCATTAAGAATCACTAATATTGTGATCAGAGGTATTGTAACAAATGCTGGTAGTGGCCGCCGTCGCCGTGATAAACTTTACAGAAAAAAACGTGACTTGTACGTATAGATTTTACATGATCTTTTTTTACGTTATATTCTTTCTTAACACTTGGGCAACTCTGTTTTAGACCTAGTTGTAGTCAGTTCGGATCTGCACACTTATTGGTGGATATTACAATGCGTGTCGTCTACCAGAAAAAGTGTGGCCTATCACATTCTTGCAAAAGCAAATTTCTCAATCTTATTCTAGCTCGTATCAATGCATATACTGCAGGTATTCCAGTGGTAATGATATTTGCTGACGGTCGCTCCACTTCACTCGTGTTATTCGCTTGCATCAATACCGGTGGTCTATCATTGTTCATTATTCAAAGTATTACAACTACAACAAAAGGTAAAAAGTTTTCTGTTTCATAGATTTTGGTATGCGTTGTCACGTATATTTCCGCTTTGCAATTTCAAGAACTTATCTTAGAAGAAAATTTTTTTTTAATTGAGTGCTTTATAGTTTTGTTCGTGGAATAATACTCTTAACTAACAGTCGATCAACGAGTGAGATCTAATATTTAAAGAATATTCAATGCTTCAACTTTTGTGAATTTATTACGTCAAGAAATCAAATCATGCATATCTTTCAGCATAGTAAAAATGTCTTAATAGTAAATCATGAATAAAAATGCTCAGTGAGTAAAACTAGGTATTTATCAATTGCTTAACTTTTTTTTGTGAGAATTGCTACCTTTCATGTAGTTGCTCGTGAGTTTCCTTTTTAATACAGTGCCTAGCAGTCAATCTATGAGTTTTCCCGTGTCTTTGTGCAGTACTAAACATCAAGTTGGTATGTTCGATCACATCATGCAAGCAATATCAGAGAGATCTATGTCACGAAATGATCTAAATGTTTTAAGGACTATTCATGTAGGTTTTCATCAATTTTCAGTAAGTTCTACAAATAGTGATACCCATGTTTGGAACTTGTTTTTTTCTTGAGATAATGAAAATTGACATATTGATGAATAATCATAGTTGAGATCAGTGTAATAAAAAATGATTGTTCCAAAAGGATCGATGTTGTTTTACCCATTGATTGCTAGCTTTAATTCTCTCGAAACTCGTATTGGTTTTCGCATATTATTAATGGATGCCGTAGCGTAGGAAAGAACTCATACTGCTCCAAAGACACTTTCAGCCTAACGAATATCAATCGAAAACTCAGCACACGCACACATCGCATTTCGTACACTGAATGAAGTTCACATAGCTTCTAGCTCTGTTGTTATGCTTCTTTATTGAAAGTCTATATATTATTTTAGCTCCTGTGTGTTCGCTTCAATGGAATACAGTTGGCACGACTGTAGCAGGTGCTGCTAATGGCGTCGCTGGTGTTACACTCAATCGGCTCAACCGTCCTCGTGATGTATTTTTGAACTCAGACAATACACTCACTATCGCTGATACTGCTAATAATAGAGTCCAGAAATGGACGATTGGTGCTGCCAGTGGTGTGACAGTCGCTGGTCAAGCAAATGGAGCAGTCGGAAATGGTCTATCACAGCTCAGTTCGCCTACTGGTGTCATTGTCGACGAAACTAGTACTGTCCTTGTGGTGGATGATATTAATGATCGAGTTCAATCCTGGCCATTCACTGCAGTTCAGGGCACAACCGTTGCCGGCGCAGGTAAAAGAGTTTGAGGTTTAGACGGTAATCACCATGCCTTCAACCTAGAAAATGGCAGTATTTTTCTCCATTAATTGTGCGTAACTTCAAAATCGTCAATTTATCACGAAAACTAGGAAAAATACAGAAACTGAAGAGTAGTTTCGATTAGTAGCCGATTTCTTTATAACATGTTGGACTTACATAGTATGCATCTAAGCTATATTAAAACAAACAGTAATATTCTATACGGTTTCAGTCAAATGATGATCTTCTATTCTTTGATCGAGACACAATCGTCTCGTTTTGTTTTCCTGCTAAAGAATATATAGTGTAATTTTCTTCGAAAATTCCTTGAAATCAAACTGCTTAAAATAGATAGTTGAAAAGGATTTCAGTTACATTGAAAACAAAACCGAAGATCCGATTGCTAACTGAGAGAAAGAATAATGAAACCAATATGTTACAAACCTCTCACCTATGACTCCGTATAGCGATAAAAAATAGTCGCACTATTTTCTTAATGTTAAGCTCACGCAGTGTCCATTAGATGATGTCAATGATACCAGAAAGAGCCTTAAAATACTGATGCCTATGAACAGATGGAGCTGAATTATCAGCAGTTTACTAATTTTTTGATGTTTTGAACGGCATATACAGGAATATCAGATAAATATTTTCGATCTCCAATTAGGCTACCAAATTTAGGCTAAATAACTGTTTGAGTACTGTAAGGGTTGTATTCAAAACCAAGCCTTCTTCTCGAGATAATAAAATTTTGTAGTTCCGCACAAAAGTATCTGCTACACTGAAGCTCAAGCTTCGAAAGGTTCTTTTAGCCGAAATTTTGCAAGAATATCTTTCTTAGTACATTCTAATGAATGACACAAACTGTAGTCTGAATAGTTTCGTGTTTCATGAGATTTGAAACTCTCTGTCATCCACACTGCCATTTTGATCTTCCGTAGAAGTTACAAAACTTTTGGCTATTTTATGCATCAACATCTAGCTGGTCGATAAATAATTAAATCTATAAAAATCGAATCGATTTAATCGAGCTCCAAGATACAGGCAACCATTTCACTAGTGGTCTTGCTTTCTCCGAAAATCGCATATCACCAATCTGGTTATCATAGCTTCTCAACAATACAATATTGTGCGACAAAAATTTTATAATGAATTTCACAAACACTAGTCTATTTTGTGGATGAGAGTCTTCTCTTCACCATCAGCCTCATACACGCTCAACTCACAACAGTTATAGTTCAAGGACTTTCGTTGAGCGTACACAACTATGTGAACACTGTTTTCTTCAGAAGTCTTCGGCTATCATATAATACACGCTGATTAGCTACCATACAAACACATTGTAAGTTCTATTGTTACTCAGTTTTCTTGTACCTTGTTATTGTGTATCTTAAAATATATCGCGTCTCTCAAGCTATTTCTACAGCTGTTCAAGTCACTGTCATAGAGTATAGCCATATTCAGCATAAAAATATACGATAGGAATAATTTTTGAATTTGCAACGACAGTGATCGAGTTTCGATATCCGCCAATTGGATAGTCGATTTTTTAGCTCAAACTACTTAGTTACATTTCAAACAGTTGTTGGTTCTGATAGAGAATCATTCAATAATGAAAGGATTTCTACATCTGCGAGCACAAAATCTGAAAACTGCTGCACTCCTTAGATTATTAATCTTCGAAATTGAATTTAATAGATTATCATTTCAAAATTTGCTATAAGAGGCAGCAAAATACAGACAAAGAAACCAGTTATTCAGTTATTCTTATACGAATAAGTTTTCTCAAATCGTTCAAATTCAAATCTAAATTTTACTCGTCAAACTTTTCAAAAACTGTCTCTGACATTTGCCGTCATTGATGATCTTATTTGTGCATTATTGTATATGAAATACCTGTTGATAGTTCTAAAACATCTTTGGTTTCGATACTGAAGATCTTTACGTATACAAAAGAACTTATTGTTGTGCGATAGATTGAGAGAACTCATTGATTAAATGAGTTTTCATTGGAGTAAATGCAAAATACTAGCCATCCTGATTTTGAAAGTCAGTTATGTCTGAATATGTATTTGTTACGCCTTTCATTACAACTTTTCTTGCACAAAATTTCAATAGTTTGAAAAAATGTTTCTTAGCATTGTTTACAAGCGCTGAAAAATAACTTTTCAGTCCTGCAGCAAATATATCAGACTCTTTAAATATTCTTTAGATCAGAAGGATATTTTGATAACAAGTAGAGATAGATTAGGGATGACAGACTACTAGCATTTTTGTTCGTTACACAAGCAAAACATGTGGGAGCCATACTTACCAAATTAGCTGCTACATATACCTACAGTAGCCCATTCTGCGACCGAACTCGAGTCAAATTTAGCTCGGTGCTTGAATAATCAGGGATACACCGCTACTCTCTCGTTATATGAGATCATGGTTGGTGAAAGAAACTAATCGAAAAGCTTCATTAAATATTGTTGTTTTGTTGAAACATGTGCATATTTTCAGGAGGAAATGGAGCGGGAAATAATCAATTTAGACGTCCATTTGGTATTGCACGTAATGCTAACACAAGAACACTTTACATTAGTGATTCTTTAAACCATCGGGTGATGCGATACTTGGCAGGTGCAGCAGTTGGTGCTGTGATTGCTGGCGGTGCTGGAGCTGGAAATGCCAACAATCAGTTGAACTTTCCAACTGGTATCTATTTCGATCAAACATCAAATAGTCTAATAATCGCTAATCGTAACAATCACAATATTGTCCGTTGGGTCATAGGAGCTGCTACAAGAACAGTTCTTGCAGGTAGTGCTGCTGGAGCACCTGGTGGTACAGCAGCATTATTAAGAAATCCTGATGGCGTAACGCTTGATTCCGCTAAAAATTTGTATGTGGCCGACACTGGAAACAATCGCATACAGTTGTTTAAGGTTGGTCAAACTAATGGTATTACCATTGCAGGAGTACCTGGACTACCCAATGCTAATCCCTCTTCATTACGTAGTCCCAGTGCTGTTAAAGTCGACTCTCAAGGTAATTTGTACGTGGCCGACACAATCAACAATCGAATACAAAAGTTCACGTGTAACCAAAGTTAAGCGTAGTCGATCTCGATAAAACTTTGAATATGTATTCTTTTTCTATTTTTACTCATCCGTTCATACTTTAGAAATAACTTGCTTTTAGTTTTTATATCTATTCACATAGAAACCGTAGTTGATTTGTATCGTAGTTTTTTTCGCTCATTATTTATATATTAATGGATTTTCTTTTCTCAATAAACCATATACAGTATATATATTGGGGTGTGGGTAAATTCATCGAAAACATATCGACTAAGCTGTTGAATCAAAGACAATTTAATTAAGTCAAAAATTAAATACCAATAGAATGATAAATTCATTTATTTTGACTAGCGACATTCAACATATGTAATAAGACAATACAAAAAAATGAAACAATATTTATTAGCATTCGTTCATTAGTATATTCAAATTTGAATGATTTTGATTTTTTTCAGTTGTTTTCCAATATCAGTCGTTTTGCAAAAAGATCTAATTTGAATTGATATAAAAATATCAAAAATATATGTTGGATTATTTCGATAAAAACAATACAAGATTTGAATTGGATTGCATTTTAATCAATTATTTTCATTACGTCAAGAATAAATATTTATATCCATTCGAAAAACATAGTGACTTGTATCTGAAAGGGAAATCAATCTGCTATATTTCAACTCTTGCTTTTTCATAATTGGACTATAAGTATAAACACTTATTACAGTTGTGTTTTACGATTTAAAGTACAAAAATTACAACAAAGAACGAAGTTGAAGGAAAAATATAGAAGAAACAGCGCAAGCAAAACGACTCAGTTTGAAATATTATTACTATGAGTTTCGTATTAAGTGCTCTAGTTCGTATTCATAACATCTGTATTATATGTGCTTTTGTAAATAAAAATTCCGGCAGCTATTCTTGTTTGCGTTTTTCAAATTTAAATCGATATTGATTCTAAACATTTTATATTAAATTAGTGATGTGTATTGAGTTTCTTCGTTGAGTCAAAATCTAGTCATTTTGAATCAGTTATTTTCCAGTGAATGTCCATCTCATAGTTAAATGGACGTGTGCTTTTTTCGAATAAATTTGAAACAGAAAGAGAGGTAGAACTCGAAATTTCAGTACTATCTGGAGTCCACATTGTTCTATCTGTGCTACGAAATTGACAAAAAAATTCTAGCCATTTTTCTTCTGGCATAGGTTCTTAGTTTTGAAGATGACTCTAATCGTCTTGGAAAACAATATACTTTATCAACTGTAGTACGATGGACAGATAGTCTAGCTTCTTCTCTATCGATTCATCCAGAGTCGAGCTTGCTAACTGTTCGTGTTGCAAAAATATGAAGATGATACTGAAGACTATCCATCAAGTTTGTTGAAAATGCGAACAGTTAACAAAATTTTCTGTCTATAAGTTTTTAGCCGCCTTCAACGTTGTACTATAATTTATTAACCATCAGAGTTTTCTAGTAAAAACGTCATCGAAATGATTTTTTGAATCTATATCAACTAACCGAAAAGAATTTTAAAATGTTTGAGTGACTTCATCATAAAAAGCCTTAAATGATTATGATATATCATGTGGAAGAGATATTTCCAAAGTTGACTTGTTAAAATTGACTTATCAAAACTTATCATATGAAAAATTCAAAGTAGATGAAGAAGCAGAAAAGTTTTAACTAGATATCTTACGTTAGATTTGATCTATTCGTCTCTAACCGATGCTGATAGATTTTTTTAAAGTTCATTAGTGAAGCATTGTACTTTGAATGTTATATAGTTAGTCTAGATGTGGATGTGAGTATTATATACTTCTTTAGCCGCACATCAGAATCCTGGATAACGGCAGAAACAGATCCAAATAACATGAAGAGAAGTGATGAGATACAAAAGACGTAAGTATATCGCTCCTTAGAAGAGTTTCTATTACAGTGTGGGATTTATTTATTATCAGATTGTACAAAAAATAAAATGATTTGATTATAATTTCGAAAGTATATTGTCTGAATTATTTGATGAAATATATCCATGACCTACATATTCACTACGTAACATTGCCTTTAATGCCTTTTCAAAGTTTTCATTGGTCGAATGTTCGAATTCAGAGGTCTTCATCGTTTGTAACAATGCTAAATTTCCTTCCTTTCGAGCAAGAATTGCTTTTCGCATGATAATTAACGATGGATTATGAATCAGTAATACGGCTAAACACCATCGTTGACGTGCTTTCGACAATGATTTGCTTTGTTTCGTTCTTTGATGAACTAGAAGAATACTAGAAAATGCCAACATAATTGGATTTCGATGAATTGCTTCCATTTGAATGAAACCTGAATAGGCACAAAAACCTGCATCGCGATATTCGAGCTGGCGACCCAATGGTGAATAGTCAAGACGTGCCGTATAAATGATTGTTATTACAAAAGTATTCAGGATTCGTGTAAACGATGCAGCCAAACCGAGAAAAGCATCGAGAAAAAAATCAAAGTATAGTAAAATCATCGATACACGATGATTGTTAATGGCAAGAATCTGGTTTTGTTTTTGTAAGAAAATATATTTGGCAACAAATAGGTTGATGTAAACTTTAAACGTACTCAAAAGAAATATGGGAATAATAATAGTTAGTACTTGTTCAAATAATTTTCCATCATTTTCTAATAATTTACCAATAATATAATAAATAGAAAATGTTAATAAGAAACATAGAATATAACCCCAAACTGCATAGCCAATAAAAAAGCCAGCAAAATGAAGATTTCCCGTTGCATATAAAAGATTCTTTAAATTATCTTTTTTCGGTATTTCACTATGATTACCACGAAATATTTGTAATAAATGGCGTCGAATACTTGTTAATAAGACAACTACTTGAATGACAGTGATGATGAGTGCTGTAAAAATAGCGATGAAAAATGGAACTTTTACCGCTGATAGAGGAGAAGTAGAGGATGTCTGATTTTGTGACGTACTATTGGCTTGATTATCGACCGGATTTGTATTTTTGGAACCAGTCAAGCTTTCAATCTTGATTTGCCATACTGGTAGATTGGGTAACTCTCGAATAATTAGTTTAATGGTCAGAACAAATAATACAAGAAAAAGAGCTGCATAAATACAAAGAATACGTGATGAAAAACGAAAATCATCACGCCATTCATAAACAGATTTTGGTAACAAGTGAGCTACAAACGATCGACTAGGAGGACATACATTGGGCGAACGGAAAAGATTTCTTACATAGAGAGTTTCAACAGAATATGGTTGTGTAGCAATAGAAAATGCTTGTTCTTCTTGTGTGTATTTCTTGTCATATCTTTCTTTATCATGCCGATATTGATGAAACTTACTAACAAGCATAGTGGGCAGTCGAATGCATACATAAGCCAAACACAAATATCGTGGAATATCAATACAAAGTTGAATAGCAATCAAACTCGGACCGGTACCATAGTAGGATAGATATTTAATAACATCAACCGAAGAATTTGTTGCTTGATAATCACTCTCAGTTGGATAAAAAGGCGTTGGACAATAACCTTGATAAAGAACTGTGATGATAAAATACAGCCAAGTATAGATTGTTGCACAGGACAATGTAAAAATAGTATCAATATAAACAGCAGCTAACATAGGATAATAGCAAATGCAGATAACGAACACTTGAGCTATATTTTTCAAATATTGAATGATTGAACCTATAGTAATCAATTAAGAAACATATTGACAATCAAGGTTTTTGATTATAATCAACTTGTCACAAAATTTTCCTAAGACTAATTAATGCAATACGATGAGAAATTCTAGTAGTAGAAAACTTTTTTGTTTTTTTACTTCTCAAAATCGAGATATTCAGAGATCTCATGATTAACATATGAAATTTTTCTTCTAAACTCTGTACCGTTTCTTCTGGTTCTTTCTTGTTGAAAAGCTTCTATGATAATAAGCAAAAGATGATTGGACATAATAGCAAAGATCACACTGACATATTTTCGTTTGATATGAATGAAAAAGTTGAGTGGAACAATCGGTGCTACATAGCCTCGACATGTATCACGTCTGAAAGAAGTTCGTTTTGTTATAATGACAAAAACAATAATCAATAGACAAGCAGTTGGAAGTGTGAATATGTTAACACTTTGATCATCAACGTATGAACAAAAATTGTTCGGTACATAATAAATCGGTATTTGACGATAGTATTTATCAACAATATCGTTGTGGATCGGTTGAACAAGAAGCCATCGAATAATTAGAGCTATTGTAGCAATAATTATCATAAGCAAGATAGTTAACAATGACATCAGATGAAGTACTGGTTTTCTTTTATCGTTCGATGACTCATCAATAGATTTCATTGATGAATCGGTCTCATTTTTATTTTCATTTAATTTACGTTCTTTCTTCTTCTTGCGAATACGCCAAATTATTTCCAATATATAATAGAATAGAATTAGAAAGCCAGTAATGGCACCCAATGCAATAACTTCCTTTCCTGTGGCTGACTCTAAAACACTAAAATGATGAACAACTTCATTCTCGAACAATTCTCATTTTACTTACGATTTTCGCATGTTTTTCCTTCCCACCAAAATTTGCATTCGCATCTCCATCCATCAGCACTTTGATTATTATAAGTATTATTATTATTATTCATACAATATCCATGCTTACCACACGGATTGAATGTCGAGCAATCTTGAATAGAAATCAGATTTATGTGTTGAAATGGTTGTGTAGATAATTTTAATCGACTACTTACTTCGAACATCGATCTGTGTAGCTGTGCGAGTCGTTGCTAACAAGCGCACATTGGGCGCATGAGTTTTCCTTGGTAACAACATATGCCGATCACTTATCACCTTATAATATGACTATTAAATAAAATGACTGATAATTGTTGGTCTCATAATGAATATATGTTTCGTGTCGTACTTGATTGAATATGATAATTAATTAAAAAAAATTACTTTTTTTTTCTACTTGCATATGTACTATATCATTAGCGGCTAATTAACTTGACAGGAGCGAGT